CAACTTGGTCTGCAGGAGCTGGAGAGCACATAAGACAGTGGAGAGAATATGAGAATAGAGAGTGTCAGTCTAGCCTGCCTTGATCTTTTCCTATTTCCCCTAAATCCAGGATTTTTTTTTTAACTCAGGGGCACTCAATCACTGAGCCACATCTCCATCCCTATTTTGTACTTTATTTAGAGACAGGATCTCACTGTGTTGCTTAGTACCTTGTTTTTGCTGAGGTTGGCTTTGAATTCTCGATCCTCCTGAGCCACTGGGATTACAGGCATGCACCACTGTGCCCAGCTAAATCCAGGATTATTTCCTTCTTGCCAAATTGGATTTAAGGATAAAAATATTTGGGGGCATGAATAATATCATTTGGCACATCAGTAATTTTGAAGGAAAAGAAAGAAAACCATCCAGGTTTGATGGCCCTACCTGTAATCTCAGCAACTCTGGAGGTTGAGGCAGGAGGATCACAAGTTCGAGACCAGTATCAGCAATTTAGCAAGGCCCTAAGTAACTTAGCAAGTCCCTGCCTCAAAATAAAAAATAAACAGTAGAAAGGGCTGGGGCTGTAGCTCAGTGGTTAAGTGTCCCTGGTTTCGATCCCCAGTATTTAAAAAAAAAAAAAAAAAGGCAGGACTTGGGGTGATAGGATATGGAAACCTGATGGTCCAGTGCTATAATTCTGTATGTTCATGAATGGCCTAGAGGGCATGGAATCAAGTGATACCACATGTTGCCCTAAAGCCTTGAAGATGGAGGTGGCTATAAGAAAAGCTAAGGATGGTTTGAACAGTGCACTGGAGTGTGTGTCTGTCACAGAGTGGAGGACACAAGCCTAGAACCTAGGCAAGTGGCCTGGGCTGCAGAAGTAAACTTGGGAGTAATCAGGAAATGGTTGGTAACAGAAATCATGGAAGTAGGTGAGTTTACCAATGTTGAATGTAGCCTGAAAAATGAGTGTAAAACTTGAAGGATACTGGTGGGTAATGAGCTGAGGAGGATGGCCCTGAACAGAAAAATGAAGAGAGAAAATGACTGATGAAAAGGGGAGTGGCCAACTCTAAACGAAACAGAACTGGAAATAAATAATGAGCTACTATAGGAGGAGAGCCCTCCCACAAAAGAGCCAAGTTACTGTCTTTCTCTCCACCTCAGATTTGTTTCTGTTCTTTGGGACTGGGTCTCACTATGCTGCAGTCTGGCCTTAAAGTTGGCACGTGATTTCATCAAGTTATTGGTATTTAATACTAAGATTTATCTCTGTAAAAATAGAATGTTAGGGATATCTTCTGTTTATATGCCAACTCTGAAATCACTCAGGACTGTTTCTTTTGATGATTGTGGTTGTTTAGCCATTTCAAAATTAATTGATGCATTTAAAATGGTACAACAGAATCTTGTTAGGTCACTATCTAGTTTATGGGGCTGTCGTAACTAAGTACCACAGACTTTGTGGCTTAAACAACTGAACTTTTCCTTCCTCTGTTCTGGAGACTGGAAGACTGAGATCAAGGAGTTGGCAGGATCGGTTTCTCCTGAGCCTTTCCCCTTGACTTGTACATAGCCATCTTTTCCCTGTGTCTTCACGTGAGCTTCCTTCTGTGTATGTGTCTATCCTCATCTCTTCTCAAAGGATACCAATCATACTGGACTAGGGCCCCCATATAACTTCATTCTAAATCACCCCTTAAAGGCCCTGTCTCCAAATACAAGCACATTTTGAGGTACTGGGGCCAGGAATTCAGCATATGAATTGAGGCGTGGGACACAAGTAAGCCTATAATACTTAAAAGTAGAATTTAAGGTTAGCTTCTGAGTGAGTCAGAATTAGTAGAGGCAGATTTGTAACCTCACTTAAAAGTGAGAACAAAAGAAAGGTACGATGACAGGCTCTTCTCAGGTCAGGGGGCATCATTTTGACTACTGACAAGTTTATGGTGGCTGCCAACCAATAGGAAAACACTATCTGGAAATATATAACCTGATTTAAAAATTAGGTAAATACTATAACATTTAATAGAATGTGACTCTTGGTGCTACGGATGTGGTTAATGTGTAAGAAATTTTAAAACTGTAACATGCATTTTCCTTCTCTACAGTGTATACCTTTCAACAGTTTGGTGTGTACTTGGGGATACTAATTATTTTTAAAACATCAGCTAAAGGAAATGTAAGGGGAACTAAACTTTGTCAGCTTTAGTTCCCTTGATCCCCTCTAAACCCAAATGCACAGTTTTTCAGCTGTTCATAGTGTGGTTTCAGTTACAGATATGAGAGGGGTGCTGATTTTTTTTTTTTTGAGAGGTGCTGATTTATATACATTTACTCTAAATGTTAAGTCCCAGGAAGGAAACAGTTGATAAAGAAGGTGGTTTCTTTCTCTGTTTTGTAGGCGTGTCGGGGAAACCAGCATGATGTGCCAGTAACTCCTTTGGATGTGGTGGATCATCAGACGGACAAGCTCGACAATGTAACTGAGGTGGACGCTGCCTCCATGTACACGCTGCCTGCTGGAGCAGACTTCCTTATGTGCTACTCTGTTGCAGAAGGTGAGTGGGTGTTTTACAACATAGAGTTGGCTGTCCTGGCTAAGTTCCCGTAAGTCTCAGATTGGAGTTGGATCAGGGCTTTGAGGATCAACCACCATGTCCAACAAAGACAGAGAAGTGACCTAACACATGGCATAGAGTAGAAAACGAGTGTGTAAAATACCTTATAGAAGAATTGTTTCTGAGTGCTATGGCGAGCAAAACAAGTCTAATGATACCAAATACTAGCAGCCTGCTCTCATTGATTGATGGTGGTAATGCCATTGTGGTAATATCCATGGAAAGCATTGCTGAAAAATATTCTATAGCAATTCTTCTTTGCTACTATAGTTACTGATTTTGACATCTTATTTTGCACCTTAAGATCACTAGCTACCATGTTGAGGTTTTTTTTTTTTTTTTTTTTTTTTAGCTAATGGAGAAAATTATATAGAAATAACCTCATTTATATAAAACTAGAATTATCTGGGCCTGGTGGTACATGTCTGTCTCATAGACTGAGGCAGGAGGGTGGCAAGTTCCAGGAGAACTGGGAAAGTTAGCAAGACCCTGCCTCAAAATAAAAGGGGCAGAGGATGTACCTCTTATAGAGTGCTTACCTAGCATGTGCAAGATCTTGGGATCAATCCTCAGTACTACAAAAATGAAATAACAATAAAGTAGAAATATAGAAATAATATATTTTCTTACATGAGAATAGTCAACAGAAAAAATTTCAAACCATTATCATAGACATGGCTTAATCTTTTCCAAAGATTTGGAACACACACTTCTGTAAACCATGAATCATAAAAGTGTTTTTATCCCCCCCCCGCCCAGCCCAGCCCGGTACTGGGGATTGGATTCAATAGTGCTCACCACTGAGCTGCATTTGATATAGAATCTCACTAAGTTGCTCAGGCTGGTCTTGAACTTGTGATTCTCCTGCTTGGCCTTCCGAGTCTCTGGGATTATAGGTGTGCATCCAACTACAAAAGTGGGTAGTTTTCAATCACTTCAAGTCAAAAGAGAGAAAACTACAGTGTCCTTTTTCTTCATTGTTTTTTTAAAAAATTTTTTAAATTTTTTTTAGGATATTATTCTCATCGAGAAACTGTGAATGGCTCATGGTACATTCAAGATCTGTGTGAGATGCTGGGAAAATATGGCTCCTCCTTAGAGTTCACGGAACTCCTCACTCTGGTGAATAGGAAGGTTTCTCAGCGCCGAGTGGACTTTTGCAAAGATCCAAATGCAATTGGCAAGAAGCAGGTTCCCTGCTTTGCCTCCATGCTAACTAAAAAGCTGCATTTCTCTCCAAAATCTAGTAAGTAGGAGCCACTTTGACTTACTATATGTATTCTGTATATATTTCCCTTTTTACATAAAATAGCATCACTAAATTGGAGAAGTTTAAAATGTTTCCAGGCTTAATGCCCAGTAGAGAACTGCTTTTTAAAATTTTTTAAAAAATCATGTTGCACATGGTGAAAGGGTTTGAGAAGAAATCCTCAGGAATTTATTATACATAAAAAAATATTTTTTCTTTCTTATTTTAGTAAACTGCAAGGTTACCAATAATATTTAGCCGATTTAACTTGTATTTTGTGACTTTTTTATAAAGGCTCATTGCATAATATTTTTGAAACCTAAGAATTAGGTAAATTGGTTTTCCTTGATAAGATACTTGAAATTCATGTTTTATTAAATTTTTCTGAGTCATATTCTTATTTGTGCAATTGTAGTGGACTTGTTTTACTTGGTTATATATGTTTACTGTCTCATCTAAATAGGAATAACCACATTTTTAAATATGACTTTAACTCCCATTTTAAAAAAAAAAACCTTCAAGAACTAGTTTATGAACTTATGAGGGTGAATACAGTTCACAGTAATTCTTGGGCACGGTAGGATAAACACCTGCAAAACATGATTTGGCAGCATCTTCCACTTCCAGTTACATTGTTCAACCATCATCAGACTCATTCACTGACTGTCACATTAACAGAATAACATATTACTTTTAAAGCTTAGTTCTTATTTACATATAAAATTTGAATAATACTGTCTGATAGTAACTTGTTGGGATGAAGAAGATTAAATGTTTGGGCTTTGAGAACTGGGACATGTGAGCTGCTAGTTCAAAAGCAATACTTAGCTTGTATTTCAGATGCAGTTCAGAAAACACCAACTGCAGTTAGAGACAAAACATACCTTTTTGATAAAGGTCTTCTAATTACTGAATGTGAAAAAAAGGAGTTAATGACAAATCAATTCCAAGCAAAGCCTGAGATTGAAAGTGGATGCCAAGCACACAGACTGCTTTGCCTCCACAAAGGGATGGACACAGGTCAGGGTGGTGAGGATTTTTAGCCGACTGCAGCAGCTGCTGCTTGGAAGAGGCAGACAGGCTGTCTACAATAACAAGTCACGGACATCTACACACCAATAATGTCAAGTGAAAACTTCTATAAGTACTTCTGTTTTACATGAATTTATTAACTAAAAAGATTAGACAGTAAAATTAAAATGAACTATGAGACTCAAAAACATCCAGTTTGGAAATTACAAAATCAATACAAAATGGAAAATCCAATGGTGTTTAAAAATGTGAGATTAATTCTTATTCACTGAGTTCTTCTACTTGGCATCTTCAAGTAGAGAGAATGGCGCACATGTTTCAGGGCTTCTTTAGCCTGTCATGGGAAAAAGCAGAAGCACAAGATCAGAGAAGAAGAGAAACTGGCATTAATGCCTGGAATTCTATATAGTTAATGTCTTCTTTGGGGAATGAGTATTTAAACTGTTAGCACAAATGCCATAGTTATTTCAATTTTATATGAATCCTTTTTAAAAGATGAGTTTATGGTTTCTACTTCATCCATATGCTTTAAAATATTAGTTCATTCCCTTTGAAATGTTTTTTCCAGTTCATATTCTAAAAAAAATAAACTCTTGTGACCTATAAGTTTCCCCTTTTCTCTTCACTTTATTACCTAAAAATAATAAATACTTTACAAGATGATATATTATATCTTAAATGCTGTGTCCCATAAACTAGCTGGAAGAAGATTCCTTAGCCTTGGATTGTTTAAATGTTAGGGAAACTACAAAAGGAAAAAAAATTATTATATTTTCCTATATAATGATAATATGAAATATTTTTTAAAGTTCTTTAATTTTGGCTTACAAATTCTAGTAATTTTTTTTTTTTTAATTTCAAGGGTGGATAGTTTAAAAGACACAAATAAAACAAAAGACAGGGAGGATATTTTTACCAAGACTTTGTTAAAAAAAATTACTAAGAAAAGTGAAAAATCCAGTTATGTGCTGAGAAGTGCATCCGAATAAAGTTAATACATTGGGAGGCCAGAGATAAAAGCTGCCTAAGGAACAGATGGTGAAAAAAACACTTAAGAACTGACAGGCTTGAAGTTTGATAGGCTCACTTGCCCTTCTAGAAGTGTACACTTGGGTAAGTAACTTTAAAGCCCATTTCCTCATCTGAAAGGGGAAGGGGTGAGAGGAAGAATACTATAATTCTTCTACTTGAAGGGAAATAAACATAAATAAATGCCTTTAGAGTTTAAAATTCCCATCAGTGTTTATCTTTCTACAGTTCTACTTTCTATTTGCTTAGAAACAGATTTCTAGTGAAAACTTTATTTTTTCTATTTCAAACTCATAAGACATTTTCACATACATTTAAAACTATCCCCATGTATAGTACAGAAGAATAAAGTTAATATCAGATATGTCACCAATTTTGTGGACCAGTCCTGCTATACACAGAAATCTCTCTAGAGACTAGCCTGTGAGGAGGACCCAACAATTGCATTTCCCTCCCTCAGTCCTGGGTCCCCAACATAACCAGCCGTGAGATGTATTTTATACCGTAGCAAGGTCGTCTTTTAACTTGTTGTATTGTTCCACATCAAAATGCTGTTGCTCTGATTTCTTATGGAAGAACTGAAGCAATTGCCTTCTGCTAATCAATGTGTAAGTATAATTCTAAAGAAAAGAAAACAGCATGTGTTGAATGAACATACTGCCTCTTGAGGAAAGATATTTGACTTAGCAACACCAAAGCAAGGGGAAGGCAGAAGAATGAAAAAAATATTTGCAGTGGCTACTAGAGCAAACATAAGCCAACACAACTAGAACATTTAGTCTTGTTTAATATCAGCTGCTCCTTTCACAAGCAAGCAAGTTGGTAAGAGAAATTAAGAATAGGAAAAAAATGCGAAGGGAGATTTTTGGCAAAACTACCATGAATTACTTGGTATTTTGCAATGCAACTTCAATTTTATTTTATGAATGAAGTCATGAAGAACACAAATAGGACAAATTATTCCAATGGAGGAATTTGTGTTATTCACTCTAGATTTTATATAGTTTATTTGTGCTGTAATTCTCCATCTAGTCTGGTGAAAATAACAAAAATTCGCCAGCTCATGAAGACCCAGATAGCAGTACTCAGTAAAGGTTTTATTGCTTGGCTTGGGTAAGAAATTCCTTGCAAAATGTTTGAACTTACTTCCTAACTACTCACCTGTCGAGTTAGTATAAAGTATGCAAAATAGATCATGGAATTTGTAAATGTGAGGAAGTATGTGACTGGTTCCATGATATCCCAGGAGTACACCCACCAGGTGAACCAGGCCAGTGCCCCACCCTGAACTGACAGCAGAGCTAATCCAGCCCATAGGAGTCCTCTGGTTTTGGCCTCAGAGCGAGCTTCAATTCTAGCTTTCACCTAGAAGGCATGGGAAGGGGGAAGACCATTAATTCAGTTTATAGGTGCATCAGCTTAAGGGGAAAAAGCAAGAGCAATAGTTGAACCAGTGCATGCCTGCATTACTTTATAAAGAGATCAGGTATATGGAGAGATACTTTATAAAACATCATATTAATTACTCATTTCCACATCAGTTCATTAATAGTTCTCTTTTAAATTATAAAGGTAATAAACAAAACCAAAACCCTAGTATAAAAGGGCATATGATGGAAAACCCAGAAGTCATCCTTTGAAACTTAATTAAAGGGAAATTGCATGGTAATGGAGGGAGACCCTCATTGTTATACAAAATTACATATAAGAGGTTGTGAGGGGAATGGGAAAATAAACAAGGAGAGAAATGAATTACAGTAGGTGGGGTAGAGAGAGAAGATGGGAGGGGAGGGGAGGGGGGATAGTAGAGGTTAGGAAAGGTAGCAGAATACAACAGTTACTAATATGGCATTATGTAAAAATGTGGATGTGTAACTGATGTGATTCTGCAATCTGTATTTGGGGTAAAATTGGGAGTTCATAACCAACTTGAATCTAATGTATGAAATATGATATGTCAAGAGCTTTGTAATGTTTTGAACAACCAATAAAAAAAAAATTATAGGCCCATTTTCTTTGACCTAGCAACTCTGCTTCTAGGAATTCATCCAGAGGCACACTTGTACACGAGACTCAGTGCAGATTCATTTCTTAATGCAAAAGGCCAAATTAACCCACGTTGCATCAGGTATTATGTGATTACAATGAGGCTTCTATGTGCGAACTAGAGAGTTCCAGTGAAAGGTAAGAATATGTAGAGAGAAAATAAAAAATGAGCCATAGGTAGGAGTACAGTAGCTCAAAGTACAGGACAACATATCTCAAGAAACTTATTTGTGGACAAGGTACACATATACCCTCCCATTTAAAAAAAAATTAAAAACGAGATTTTATCCCCTGAAACAAATTGCTTCACCCTACACTGCAAATAAGTCAGTTATTCTTTTTTTTTCATCACAGATTAACCTCAAATGTCAGGAAGCCATTGCTAACTTCCCAGGCTCAATTCTGTTAAGCAGAACAAGAGCCTGTGAGGTAACACTCCCAAGTAGTGCATCCCAGCTCATATACTACTTATTTACAGGGCTGATCCTCTCCAGGCAGCTCAGTGGTCAGACTGCCCAAGTTCATGTTCACACTGGACCACATACTAGTTGTCTATCTCTATTGTCCAGTTTCTTCATCTGCATATAAGGAAGAAAACGGAACTGAGACTCATGAGAATTAAAAGGAGGAAACTGAGCATATGTAAAGCATTCAGAAAAATGCTCACACGAGGGACACTTAATAATGCACAATAATGTCAGTCTGGTGTTCAAATACAGGCTATGAAGCTTCCTGACCTGCTCAAGGGGCTGCAGCTGTTCCTTCAGGTGGTCAATTTTCTCCAACAAGTGTTGTTCTCTTTTCTTCTGAGAGTCTTCTAAATGTAGGACTGTGAACAGTCTGTGAACCAAGGATTTCACACTTTCCATCTCAGTCATGTGCACATAGCTTGATTTTTCTGGGGGGGGGGGAAGGAAATATGATGGAAGTCACTACACTATTTCCTTCTGTGTGAGTCCAAGGAGCCAATCTGAGTCCCAGTGCCTGGCTATCTGCATACCGCACCTCCTAGGGAGGCATCTGGTGTTGGTCTGTTCTATTTTAGATAATTTGATTAGTCGATCCTAATAAGGCAATCTATAATGATAAATTATAAGACAGTTGATTTAAATTCATTATGTTTGTCTTTTGTAACATGACTTTTGCTATTGCTTTAAAAATATACATACAGGAAGTGTAAGATGACTACCTCACCTTTATGGGTTTATGGAGTCACGGGCTCACTTTTATACCTGAGCTCAACCTTACATCCCATATCCCGCTCTCTGTCCCCATCTTTCCAACAGTTATGTCAGAATCCACAGGGGAAGGAAGCTAGGATACAGCCAAGTAAACAAAGGTAAAATACACATCTGAAAAGCAGTTCAAGTGTAAGTTCTTTTCAGCAAATGGAGTCATAATAAATGTAGAACTGAAAGGCAATTCATATATGCATTTTGGGGGGGGGGGGGAAATGAGTGTAGGAGACCAAAATTATGCCGTCTCCAAAATGTGCCACTTTGCCTTAAGGATTATTTTAAGCTGAAGGCATGTAACGTGCAGACACAATAAAAGCTCTCTGGTCTCCCTCTAAAATCAAAAGCAACTTCTTCAAGCTGAGAATAAAAACTACCTCCTGCCCTGGCTTTCTGTCCCACACTCTGTGTTCTCTTAATAAAAGCTTTTCTTGATCTAGAGTTCTTTGAAGATGGTGATTTGAAACAAACACAAAAAAGTTTCCTCTATCTTCCTGCAAAGCTGGCTTTGAATGAAGCCCATTTTCCTGCCAACTTGACCCTTGAGTGTCTGTGGAGTGGCAGCAGTAGAGCCCTGCCTCTTGCCCCTTGTACAGTAACAGTTCCTCAGGGGGACACCTCTGCCTGCCAAAATACAGGCCACAGATTTACAAAGGTTTCCCCTCCCCACTCCACCAGGCAGAACAAAGGTGGGTCACTAAAGACAAATGTAGACCCCTTTCAGCCCAGAGATGGCACTGGAGCGATCTCCCTGACAAATCTTACTAGATTTTATCTACCATTAACTAGCTTACTAGCCTTCCCACATTTGCTGTCCCAAGAGACTCAGGGTCCTTTTCATTTGTCTTGGCACTTTTCTAAAACATGTTGTTCTTTGTTAAAGATGTTATATAGGCAGGAATGCTGAGCCACCTCTCTGAGAATCACTGTGTGTATGAAATGTACACATTAATAAACTACTATTTGTTTTTCCTAATCTGTCTCTTGTTACAAGGGTCTATTTTCAGACATGAAGAGAAGAGGCAAAATTATTTTTTTCAATCCCCACAGGAGTCCCAATTTCAGAGTTTTTAACATAGTGGTCTTTTGATTATGGATTTCACATCTTTCCTCTTCTGTGGTTTTATAAATTCACATAAAATTAGGCTGTGATGATACCTTTCTGTTTACCAATGCTACTAAGAGGGAGAGCAGACATGCCAGCCAGGCAGCAGGAAACAGCTGCACATCGGGAGACAGGTGGTCCCACAATCAGTATCAGCTGCTGGTTTTCCATTCATGCCAATAGTTGTGGAGTTATTTTTCTTCCATTGCCACCTAGTTCTTCAAGTTTTGATGTGGTTTTTAATTTCTTCCATGTTCTAGGCTAAAGTTGTCACAGAGGGGTGCAAACTAGCTTGTAGCCTTCTGAAATCCACACAAGACTCAAAAGTTCTTTACCATGAAAAACACTGACAATTAAAAGGTCTTAATGCAAAAGGAAGATACAGACAGGCACAATTTTGTTCAAAGCCACGGAGTATAATAAAGACCAACAGAACTGGATATTAATGAAGTAAAGATACATTTATTTACTTTTGTACTGCTGGGGATTGAACCCAGGGCCTTGCACATTTTAGGCAAGCACTCTATCACTGAGAAACATCCCCAGAAAAGATTTTTCTTAAAAACTACTACAATAGGGATGGGGGCCCAGCATGAAGTGAACTGAACCTGACTTCAATTTATATAGAGGTTGCTAGATGTTTTAAAAGAAGAATAAAAGAATAGGGAGGGAGATTAGCAGGGGTCTGAGCAGTCAGGAAAGTAGAAATTTATCAAAAGAGGATGGGAGTCAATATGACTAGGCATGGGGTTTGTTCACTGCACCTATTCAGAGGAGAAACTAATTACTTCTTCCTGACAGGAGGGCCCGGAGCAAATCAGAGCCAGGTCAAGAGTTAAGTCCACGAATACCTGCATTTCAAAGAAAGCTCTCAGGTCCTGAGAAGACAGGTCCAGGTGGTAGATGTACACTTCTAAGGGGCAGAGAAGGGTTTAAAACTGCAAGCATTCTAAAGTAACTACTCTAAGAGGGCTTCAGGGGCTTATTGGCCTATCACCAGGTTTTGGTGGGAACAAACCAAATTCTCGTGACAGTGTTGAGCTCTTCCAGCTAGGCATTTTAAGGGGGCTGGAGTTATTCTAGAGATGAGACTGTGAACTGTCAGAAACTGTGCAATGTTTGTTCAAGTCTTAGATGTAAAAGGGAGGGAATGCAGACATATATATGCGCATCATATCACTTGTGCTGAGAATCTGCAGCAGTTTATATAGACCAAAACTAAAGCCTAATTAAACAGAGGGCTTGAAAGAGCCTGATTGGAGTTTGGTCAAGGTGTCTTTAAAATGCTTTTCTAAATAAAAAGAATAAATGAAAAAGAATAATGCAATGATTCAAAACAAAACAAAAAATGCTTTTCTGAGTTTATGACAAGTGCCTTTGGCCCTGCTTTTCCACAACTACAAGCACTATATACTTTATATGTTAAAACACCAACCTAAGCTAGCATTGTGGCATCACCTTATAAAGATCAAATATGATCCCAGCAGCTTGGGAGGCTAAGGCAGGAGGATCATGAGTTGGAGGCCAGCCTCAGCAAGTTAACGAGGCCCTAAGAAACTTAGACCCTGTCTCAAAAAATAAATAATGGCTGGGTGTTGAGGGCCACAGCCGAGTCGGGATGCCTCATGGCATCTTTGCCAGAAGTAGTGGTTGAGAGGTGACGCCAGCGAGCTATTAAGATGATGACTTTTGAGTTCTCGCGGAGTTCCCATTGAGTTCCGGTTGAGCTCTCGCGGGGATTCCTGGTGAAGTTCCGGTGGTGGGATTTCTGGTTGGTGGTTCCTGGAGGAGACGCGTGGGTGGCGTTTGGGAGAGTTCCCTGCTGAGAGCCATTGCCAAGTAGGAATGACGCATGGCAATTTCTTTGTCAGCCTACCCAATGTTACTTAGTGGAAGGACTCTCCATTGTGGAAATGGGCTTGCCTTAGACCCAGGTCATTTGCAGTGACATTGCATGAATGTTTGAGAAAGGTGACCCTGCTCAAGGACCAGGGTGGATCCGGTTTTAGGGAGGATCCTGCTGGATTAGGGTGGGTCCAGGTTTAGGGTGTATCCTGCTGGGAATAGGGAGTATCCTGCTGCCTCAAGCGCCTGCTCCTTGGGTTTAGGGTGGTTCCAGGTTTAAGGTGGACCCTGCTGGGAATAGGGAGTATCTTGCTGCCTCAGGTGCCCACCTGCTCCTTGAGTTCCCGTTGAGTTCTCGCAGGATTCAGAGAGTATTTTGGGATGCAGAGCCGAGTGGAGGTGGATTTTCCCCAGAATGTGCGTGTAGAGTGCCAGTGAGAGGTCGGGAATAAAGATTTGCTGTTTGAATAAAGACTTGCTGTGAGTGGCTTGTGATTTTGTGCCCAGCCAGACTGCGGCATTTGGTGGCCCGTACGGGGAACGTCTAAAGCTTGGAGGTAAGTGAAATTGCTCGCCCCTGAGGGAAGGCGAGAGAAATTTAAAAAAACAATGTGTTCTTGTTTTGATTTATTTTGTTTTTGTTTCAAGCTGCCTATCCCTAGAAATTTCTCGGGCAAACTGGGAAAAATGGTTGGCTCAAGGTTTGAAGTTTGTCGGCCCTGAGGAAGAGAAAATTGATATAACGATTTTTTTATTCCGTTTTTGTTTCATTCAGTTTCGGTTTTGTTTTGTGTTATCTTATTGGGTTGCGTTATCTTTATAGTAGATTAGAAATTAGTAAAAAACAAACTGAAAGAATGTTAAGTAAATTGTTAGAGGTTCAGACCATGGAGAAAGACATTTTAGATCAAGCAAAAGAGAAGGTCTCTCGAGCTACTCAGACAGAGGAAGAAAATTTAAAGGAAAAGGGGCTATTAGGAAAAAGGCTACAACAGGAGGCTGCTACTAATTCCGTTCTATCACCAGAGGGCGTAATTCAACCAACAGCTTCACCTATGGAGACAGCTGAGTGGCCCTCAAATCCTGTAGTTGATAAATGGGATCCTGAGACAGGACCTCAAAGATTAGCATGCCCTATACTTGAGCAGACAGGAGGGCAGTGAATTCACCGTGCTTTAGATTTCAAAACAGTGAAGCAGTTAAAGGAGGCTGTAACAACCTATGGTCCCCAAGCACCCTTCACAGTAAGCATGGTCGAATCCATTACCAACTTGGACATGATGCCAGCAGATTGGGCTAGCATGTGTAAATCTGTGCTAAATGGAGGACAATATTTGTTATGGAAGGTTGCCAATGAGGAATTTTGCACGGAGACAGCTAGGCGAAATGCAGCAGCCGGTTACCCTCAAAGAAATCTAGATATGTTGTTAGGAAAAGGACCTTATGAGGGTCAACGGCAACAAATTGAATATGATCCTGCTATATATGCACAAATTGCTGCAGACGCAGTTAGGGCATGGAAGACTTTACAAGGACATGGAGATTTACAAGGTCAGCTATCTAAGGTAATACAGAGAACTAATGAACCTTACGCTGAATTTGTAGATAGGCTTATTCAAACAGCTTCCAGAATTTTTTGGGATACAGAACAGGCAATGCCATTAATAAAACAACTGGCTTATGACCAAGCAAATCGTTGCTGCAGAGAGGTCA